ACCGGCATAAACGTGCTGAAATGTGCCTTGAAAACAGACCGGTGGTGGAAGAACGGTTGGGAGGCAGTTGGAGGCACAGCCGGTCTACAGGATATCTTTGAGAAGATAAGCATCCAGGAGGCTAGGAGCCTGGCGAGAGCCATCGGGTCGTGCTCGAACACCACTGATCCTCTCCTGCGGCAGGCAATCGATGAGCTGCTTCATCGTTTGCTGCCCAGTTTCTTCAAGTCTTCGTCGACGCAACCTTCCGGCGACTCTCAACAGCTACTCAAGTTGGAGGACGTAATCTCGTTATGTAGCCTGTCCAGCGACGCCACTCTAATGAAAGTCTTCTCAACGCCCCTGCCCGACGATGTCACGGGCTCCCTGATGCGACAACTGCTTAACTCTCGTATGTCGCTGCTAAGGGATATTGCTGTCGGGGCATTTCCGGTCCATCCTCCGCTCCGCAAGCGTTTACTGGACCAGCATCTCGCTGCGCTGCTTACATCGGTTAAACCCTACGAGTCGCGGTTTGGTCAAGACAGGCAAACCGGCTTCCCGGCGATCGATTTTACCTTGGACCTTTTAGCTGGCGAGTTTGATGTTTCGGAAAAGTCGCGAGTGGTCAGTTGGCATACGCGCATTCGGTGCATCGATATGACTCTCACAACCTCCCGCCGCCGAAGAGTGCCTTTCGACGCTATTTTTGTCCTGCTTCAGCGTGTAATCCCAGACCTGGGGCATTCAGAACGGACGCTCATCCATTGGGTGCCGCTCATACATTCATTAATAGAATTGTGGGTCATAGCCGCCTTTCCAGACGCACATCTACAGTCGATATCCGATGCGCCTGTTGCTCGTTATCGGGAGAGACTGCATCCATCTCGGCCACAAACGAGCCACAGAGATTCTTTGGAGGCAATGCTTCGAACAGCCTTTTGCACCTTATCATCCGATCAGTTTCAACATTGCCTCCGAACCCTTCTACCCAAAACCGTTCCGGAAGCCAGGCTTCCCTTACTCAAAATTCTATGCAAGAACCTGCAACACCTGAAAATTGATCTGGAGAAGCCTACGCCGTCAGTGAAGGAGCACAAGCTTGCACCATGGAGTTGGTCGTTCCTCATGTCTCTCCCCGGTCGCGATGCAAGATGGTTACTTGAGCGTGCCAAACTGTTATCGCCGAATCATAGTTTGGTCAATCCCTTCGTGTTCGAATGGCCAGCGAGTGCAGGGGATTCGTCATATTTCCGGGACGCCTTGATCCGAGTCCACTTCGACGCCATGGACAGAGAAGCAGCCGATCCTGTTAACTCAGTAGCCGGTGAATGTGAGCCATCCTTTCCCGCTAGACAAAGAATATTGCTGATGCTAGTGCCCTGTCCAGTGATTGAAGACGTGAAGCTTAAGGCTGTAAAAGCCCGTGATCCTGAAGATCGGCTTCAGTGGGCAAAACTGACGATCACTATCGCAAAGAGGAGCCGAGATATTCGCCTTGTGCAAGATGTCATCTATTGGACATCGCGCTTCGTGCGGGATCCGGTATGTTCGTTCCTTACTTCATAATGTATGTGCAGATCGCTAACAATACATATCTCTCCAGTCTGTGAGACCAGAGCTCGCCAGAAGGATTTATCGGGAGGATGTTGCCTCCGTTCTATCGTGTGTGATGTCGCCAACCACAGAGGACCTCGCGGCTAAAATATCCATTGCCGACGAGGTGGTCTCTCATCTCCTGGAACAGGCGCTTCTAACTGCGCAAGAACCGTGGTATCGAATCAACCAGGATCGAGGATTTGGCCAGCTACTTAAGCTCGTCGTTTCTAGTAGGATACATGCGGTAAAGCGCTTGTGTTTCCGTGGTCTAGGCAGTGAACAGAATGTGGTGGACACGCTATTCAAAGGGATAGTGCCAATACTGCTCCGATATGAAACAGTGGGTAGTACAGAAGGATACGAATCCCTTGGCTGGGGACAGTTGTCTGGCCCGCTTTCAGAACTCCATTGCCCGCCTAACCCACCAGTCTCGATCCTAAAGCTCTTGGATTCGCTTGCACAGCACCGAGACCATCTTTGGGTCAAACAGCGTGGCCTTCGGATCCCACAAGCTGAGACTTTGCCCGAGGGCCTACCACGAGGTCTACCGCTTCAATATCTCCTTCCTTCACAGGAATGGACGATCGCGGTGATGAAATCGGAAGGGCCTAGCGCCTTTGTCTCGCAAAGAGTGACGGAGGTTGTCCTCTCCAATCCTGGTCTACTCCTTCAAAAGGTAAAGGAGGACGGCCGCAAACAGTACTTGGCGGATAGTTTGAGGTTTGCAATCGAGGCTTACCTCGGTCATCTACCGGTCGCTGACCGGGGAAAAAGATTACTGGAGATCTGGAGTCATTACTCGGAAAAAATCCCGTCTTCTGCAGGCCACCTGGGGGACATTAAGGAATACATGTGCTCTTTGTTGAGATCCACAAGCTTACGGAAATTAGAGAGGATCATCGACCCTCCCCAGTCGCCTTCTCTTGATATATTCAAGAATATGTCACGTGACTCAATCAGCATTGAATGGGAGCCCCGATCAACCAATGTGCAACAAAATGCACAAAACTGTTGGGAGGGTTCACTATTACAAGTTCGATTTTTGGCCGCAAAGGAGGACTGGCCTCTGGAGAGAATGTTGGCAACTCCCAATCTCGGCACCTGGTCGCCAGTGCCTGAGAAGCCCAAGACCTTGAAGATATGGTGGCCCAAATATAGTCCTCGGACTCTTCCGTGCCAGTACCGAGAATCTCTCATTGCGTCTGCCCTTTTGTTTCTCAATAGCCTAGCCCAGAATACGGACCGCATATTGTCCAAGCCATTCCCTGAGAATACAGATATCCTTCGGTATCCACCAGTGCACCTGGATTACGACTTTTTGTCCAGCATCGACGACCAGAAAAAAGCAGCAACTGCAGCAATTGATCTCCTTAATTGCTTGGTCAAAATAGTACCATCCACCCTGCTGTACCACCTTTCGCTGTCCTACTTAGAAGCTCTCCATGTGCTTGAAAGCGTATCGCCAAATTATGCGCTAGTGCAGCGCCTCGCTTTCAAATCAATGGCGCTGGTGCGGCGCTCAGACAGGCCTGATCTGGCTGCGAAACTAGGCATGAAAGCGCTCCAGCTATTTCCAGAAGCATCGTCGTGGCACCGGATGGCATTACCTTCCTCGTTGACTAAGGTCCTTAGTCGCGCCAATGCGGACCGGGTAATACAAGATTTCACTACCTATGTCTTCAAAGCACTAGAAGAGCAGAACCAGCGAACAAGCCAGAGAACTGGTACTGCACAATCAGAAGAACGCATAATAAAAATCACGACAGTGAAAATGCTGGCGGCTATGCTGGCTGAAAGCAGATCTGGCGCGTCACCCCTCTCCGCCATTGAAGCCTTGAAGAACCTCTTTCACGCCAGCAACCACATCGATGTCCGGGTAGCGGTGTGCACGGCTATACTAGAAATTGTTGGAGAGTACGATGATTGTGAACAAGCTTACGAAACATTTACATCGCTCGCACCCTATGCCGCAGTGCCCAGCGAAACCAGCGCCTGTGAATCTTGGTTGCAGTCAGAGAACGCGGAGCTTCCAAGGGTGGATTGGCAACGGCCCCTTCTCGATCTTTTTACCAATGAAGCCTACGGGATGCTGCCTCCAAGGTACCATGAACACTATACATACAAGGCGCTTCTACCCCTCCTTGATGAATTGACAAGGCAACATAACCGATGGATGCGCCAATTTCTTGCTCCACTTGATCTTACGCCCGAGGAGCGGTCTGTGACTGACTTTGGCCCTTTTGAGCCAGATATGATACAAAGAATATTGGAACGCTGGTATGAGTACCTGCCTCGGGAATTCATTGTCACATATCGCGCTTGGATTATAAGCTATCTTGATTGCATGCGGCTCCGGAACGTCGACGATAAGATGACCGGGAAAGATGCATCATGGAAGACATCTGACTCATATTCTCACTGGACTAGGTGGTTCGGCGCTCATGCTGGAATAAAATCTTTCCATACGTTGCTGGGAAAGATTGATGCCAAGGAAATCACCAAGGTTCCAAATGGGATAACCCGCGAAGATCTCGCGGATGTGATCATGGCGTGTGCGGAAACCTTTCTTCGAAACCCCTTCAAGCTGGTGTCCTATCAGGTCGACGTGTCCCTGGACCGGATTATGAATCTACTTTCGTCGCTGGGGATTACCGACACCAAACGTCGAACTCACGTTTTGCCAATTGCAGAACGAATAGTAGCATTCGCGCAGGGGTTACGAACTGTGGAGTGGAGCTACGACCCACATCGTAGCCCACCCGTCCTCCCCTCGAGCTTCCAACTCCATACCATGCTTCTTCCGTTTCCTCAGTTCTACAAAACCGATCCTTTCCGTTACATCAGGTTTGTGTCCAGCACGTTGAACTTGGTCCAGGAATGTGTCTGCTTTGATACATACAAGGCCGACAGCGCTGCTCTCCACGAGGCGATGAATCACGTCACAAAAGAGGATGCGCGCCAATGTGCACTGGAATTTGGCCAGCGGTATGACTCCAGCGCAACTACGCTTGTACAGTACGTGAGGGTGGAGTTAGCCCACGTTCTGGCACTAAAATGCAGCATGCACAGGGACGAAAAGGATTTGAGAGGACGAGCAATGATGCTGCTGTGGAGGAACAGCCCAAACGAGTCGATACGGTCGATTGGGTGGTCCATATTCCCCAAAGCCTTGTAACCTGACATTGAGACAGACCTTTTCCCGCATGTACTCTTAATCCCCCAATGATATAAGTGACGAATTTCGGCAATGGTCTCCGACGTTAGTAAATCAATAGGGTATGCATAGACGCAGCTAGCCAAAAGCAAATGGCACGCGTACTGCCAGGATATCAATTCAAGCAGGCAAGCAGTGGAAAAAGGTGCGGCTTAATAGTAAACTGGCCTCCAAAAAGACGTAGAGATGGCCGGTGTAGCAAAATGTAGCCCAGGCACAAGACTCGAACTTGCAACCTCACGAGAAATTGGTTTAATTTAGACGTGCGCTCTGCCAATTGAGCTAGCCCGGGGGGTTGTTGTTTGAGAATGCGGGAACTGGCTCATGTAGCGGGCCACGATTTGCAAGCCCTCAGACTGTGGCATGAATACACAGCGTTCCAAGTAAGATACAGCCCAAGAGGAAGTAGCTATTATGGTTTCGATACTTCATTTTCAGTTGCAATACGTCGAAAAAATAATTGTGCCAGTCCATATGCATGACGGTCGTAGACCCCTCAACATAGTGGGCGTTGCGTTGCAACCAACGAGACGAGCCTTACGCGGTAGATCAGGCTGTAAGCCTCAAAGACACCTGTCATCAGGATTAAACAAGAGTGTGACTCCGCTGATTATAGTCCATTCATTGCGATCGAACAGGTTTGTGCGTCGGACGTTGACGTTCATCTTTGCTGCCTGGACATAGTTTGGCCCCAACGCACCGGCGCTGTATGAATGAAGGAACGGTCTCTGTCCATTCAGCACAGGTTCGTTATTAGTTCATCCTTAGGGGTTTTTGGGTTGATGGAGTAAACTTGGATCCAGACCGCGAGTCAGCCCTTCTGGGGGACGCAAGAAAGGAGGGAGCTGGTAGACTGATAAGTACATCCGGCGTCGGACAGTCAGCGGGATGCACATGCGTGTACCAATGGACCAAGACGACGTCGATCTACTTGGAACCCCTACAGCGGCTCAGGATGAGCCCAACTATGCGGTCGTATTTGGGGGTGGTGCATGCGCATGGCGAAGATGAAATTCGACGGAGAAGATTCAAGCAGTCGAGTCGATGGTTTATAATTTCGGCGTTGCCACTGAGTGTGGCATAGAACGAATCCCGGCTGATGAGCTTCCAAGCCTTCTTCAGATCTCCAAACAAGACTTCTGCCCGTTTATATCAGCGATAGAAAACCCCTGCGACCGTTTGTATATTGTTGGAGTCTATTCATATAGTGAAGTGTGCGACCATGAGGTCTGAGTGATGAAAGGATGCGATATTGTTCCTATGGTCCCTTCTTGGCGTAGCCGCCACCTTGGGTTTGAAGTATTCGCAGTGGGCTATTACTTTGAATAAGCACTACGAATGTGTAGCAGTGCCATATACATTCTTTAAGTAGCGCAGGCGGGCATCAACTCACGTTCACCGTGGATTCAGTGGTCCCCTAGACATTCATACCCGATAGCCTATTCATAGGCTATACAGGCACGTGATGCAACCATTATCCCGAGGGATACTTTAAGTTAACCCCAGATGCGAGTGATCATGGGAAAGCTTCCATCCCATCTTCTTCTTCCTTTCTAGCCTGCATCATGAAAGCTATCCGTCTTCATCCTGCTTCGTCAAATTCCACACCCTATTCACCAGCTAACCCGGCTCCTTCCACCGCCCTTCGGCTGGACTGTGATGTCTCCATTCCAGAACCCTCTGCGCCCGGAGAGCTTCTCGTCCGCGTCAGAGCAACAACCGTCATTCGGGACATGCTCACTTGGCCAGAAGCCTACTCACATGAGTATGCCATCTTGGGCAACGATGTGGCCGGCATTGTGGTGAAGGTGTTCTCGTCCGCAAGCCAGTTCAAGCCCGGCGACGAAGTTTTTGGCATGACCAATGCCACCCGGGCAGCTACCTGGGCCGAATACACCATCGTCAAGGAGGATGAGGTAGCCCGGAAGCCCTCTACGTTGACATTCGCCGAGGCAGCGGCAATCCCCCTCAGCGCACAAACTGCCTACGAGGCCCTCTTTGACCACGCGCAGATTCCCCGACCGACGATGGAAGATTTACTGTCCCAAACTGCTACGAAAAGAGGGTACTCTGTGCTGATTACTGGTGCCGCCGGTGCAGTGGGCGTGTATCTTGTGCAGTTAGCCGCAGCCGCAGGGGTAAAAGTTGTCGCCGCTAGCAGCTCCAATGCTCGCAATCGCGAGTTTCTCCAAGCCCTCGGGGCCGACGAAGTCGTGGAGTATAGCATGCTGGACGATTGTCGCGGAAAGTTCGACGTCATCGTCGATACCGTGGGCGGGGAAGTATTGGAAAAATGCTGGGAGTATGTCGCCGGCACAGGAGTGCTGATCTCAGTGGATTCGGCAAGCTTCAACTTCGTAGAGGAGCATGAGAAGCGTGGACTTCGGAAGGCCAGTGTACACGCGCTATTCTTCATTGTCCGGGGCAGTCCGGATGCGTTGCATTTACTTGCAGAGGTGGCAAGTCATGGAGTCGTCCGGCCTCTCGTGGCAGACATCTACCCACTTGTCCAAGCACCTGAAGCGTATGATGTAGCGAATGGGAGGGCATACGGGCGTGGGAAAATAGTCCTTGCCGTTTAGGTTCTTCAATGTCGAATGTATCCCTTTCTTAGCTCGATTAATCTTGACTCTCTGCGTCACGACTAATTAGTGGATCATAAGCCTGCACCTAGCCCCCATGGGAAATCATTTGCAACTGCAGTGTTGTACCAGCCGCATAGATCATCAATAGAGAAGACGGAAGCAGCCGGGCTTTTGTCGCGTTCCGATAAACTGTCAGTGGCTAAATTTGGATCCACCCCGTGCGCATCAAAAGACGACGGATCACTGCGTCCCAGCATAGCCTGATCATTGGGACCTTGTCCCAGTCCCAGGACACACCGAGCAATTGTCTGGATCTCGCCCACATTTCTCACTGTCCTCGGCCAGACTTCCCCAAGCACCTTAAGAGAGCCGAGCGCCATCCGGATCTGATCTCTTGCAATGGCGAGGTCTTTCCCCTTGAGGAAAATACGGCAAGCGGAGAGCAGGGCCAGTATCCCCTCGCTGACCATGCACGTGGTAAAAGGGGTGTGGTGGAATCTTGGGGCGGGTAAAGCCAGAAGACGGACCTGTGCCTCGACCGCCCGCAAGACCCGGAGGGTATGGACGTTTACTAAATCCGGCGTGGGGGTGTCCCGGGGAGGCTTGCGGGCACAGCTCGATACATTCTCGATGGCATTGAAATTGAGGGCCGACAATGGACGATGGAGGCCAACGGTGGATCTAGCTGGTGAGCGGCAGCATATGCGAGGAAGAAACGTGAAGCTTACACATGGATAAGCAGATGTGCTTGGAACAAGAGCTCATCAATGTCACCATTCGCCTTGATGACGTTTTTCTGCTCTGGCGGTAATAGTAGTCGCCATCCATCCAAGCCGCAATCGACCGCTTGGATCAGATGCATGGAGTCTTCCACGGTTGCCACTTTGGGGGTTACAGATATGGCGGACGCGGCGCACTGCACGGCACCAATGAGGTGTGCGAAGGAGGAGAAGTGGACATTATCGGAAATAAACTCGCGCTGATTGAATTCTTCAAGGGTTCTAGGTTGGGGAATGATCTTCAACCTGAAGCATAAGCGAACCCTGGTACTGGAGATTGGGGTAAAGAGTATGTGCACTTACCCCCAACTCATAATCGGACTCGTCGCAGGGCAGTTCAACGGTCGCATCAAGGTCCATGACCCTGAAATTCATCGTCCCCAAGGTGCCCGCGTAGTAGGCGTCAACAATGTACAGGGTTCACCAGGTTCGTCTCCACGATTCCCTCAAGACCAGATCGACCGGTTCCTGGGACGCTGCGAATTCTCCCTTGAACATTTGCAAAGCAATGGCGATCTGAGCCGCCTGGTCCAATTGCGACAGCGCATCCACTTTGTAGTCATACCAGAACAAGGCTACGGAGTACAAGATCCGACACTGAACCTGGATCGGATCAGACGGCGATAAGTGGGCAAGAGCGGTTTCGATCGTGTCTTTGAGCGGGACCGACCATTCTCGCGCACTGTAGATATTTCCCATGAAACGCATAGCGGCAATCAAGGGAGTAAGAGCATGCTCTATGCGAGGATCTTGACATAGTTCCACAAGATGATATCGTGGTGGGACAAATGGATGGCATACGTGGAAGTTCTTGTAGTAGGAGTGGATCAATGGGTCATTTGCAATGTCCTCCGACCGGGAAAGGTGCTTTTCGGTGCTGCAGCCATCCAGATCGGCACTGGGCACGGCGGACATGGGCAAGAGATCTACCGGGACAGACGAGATCGTACCCTGCTCCAATGTAGATGTGCTGGCACCTGTTTGATGGCTGCCATGGCTCATGGGATAATCTGTCCTTTGCGGGTGTCGAGAGACGAGACCGCGCCGCGAAGGGGCATAGCTGCACGGTTGGCCAACCTCACCACAGCGGGTGCAGCTCGGTCGCTTCCCATCACATTTGGCGTGCCGAGCGCGACAGGGCAAGCAAGCCAGCGATGAGCGTTTAGCCCGACGATTGTGCATAATTTTCAGAGTCGCTCCCGGGGAGGCGCTCGCAGTATTTCCGTGCGAGTTGATCTTATTTAGCCATTCGATCTTTCCTGTCAGCGGAAGAGCAGGGAAACACGCTAAGCTGTTTGTGGCAGTCATATCGGAACATTGCTATTCCGTGTCATTCTGGGGAAATTGACGCATTTATGCAATGTGCATGGAATCAACTTTCTTGGGCTGGAGGGAGATGATACCCATGAAACAAAGGAGACTTGTTTCAACATTTACGACTATTTCTCCGAAAGACAACCGTTCGTCATCTTGATGACTATACTAGTAAATCAGCGATATTGCCCTCTCTCGCCTCGATATATATAGTATATATACATACTTCTCTTTTCTTGTTCATGATCCAGTTGTCTCTTGGATAGTCATCAGTCAATACCTCCTCGATGCAGTTCGACGGTATGTATATCAACGGAGCTAAGCTAGCTAGGACAGAGAGGTGATACTAGGGTTTGACAATAGTGTAAAGAATAAATTTATATTATAAAACATAAATTAAAGTTATATTATTTTTGAATATTATTACTAGCTATTCTATGCTCTACCTGCAAATAAAGTATTATCCACGGATAGTCTGTATATTATATAATATGTCATGATACGGCGCTGAAGTTGGAATTTCTCATTCAGCTAGCAACAGAGAATTCACCTAAAGCAGCTAATCTATTATTTTGGAGCTAGGAGGATGGGCAAGTCGTTTGTATTTCAAATTTACTCTAGGGGAGACCCGTCTCCTTCGTTCACTCCTTGTCTTGCTTTCTTTTGTCCTGTCATTCTTTACTTATAGAATATTTTCTACAGTGTTGAGCTACCAATACCCGACTCGCTTTGCCCGTAAATGGGATCATGGAGAGACCCTTCCATCTGCCCTGGTTCCATCTGCCCTGGAAGATGAATTCTCTTACCTGGTCAATGCTGTTTATCCGTTTGATATTGCTTCAGCTTCCCTCGGCTATTGCCCAGGGATCTGGTGAGCCGGGAGGCACTTGCACAGATTCAATTCCATGTTACCAAGGCTGCTGTAGCAAGGACTATTCATGTGGTTTTACCGACGCTCATTGCGGGACTGGTTGCAGGAGTAACTGTAATGCGACGATAGAGTGCGGATAGTTCGCTGCTCCAGGTAATTCTGACTGTCCTATTAATGTCTGTTGCAGGTAAGTTAGCAGTCTGACGCAGATGGGATTCGTTATGACGACTAACGGTTGGCAGTTCATTCGGATACTGTGGTGTCACTTCTGAATTCTGCGGCAACGGTTGCCAAAAAAACTCCAATGGTGGGGTTGCGGCCAACCAGAGTATGTCTGCTTCGGCCGCTCAATATGGAATATAAGTACTAAAACCATTTAGTCGCCCAAAATGCTCTGAGAATACTGATGCCATGTCCCATGATCGACGTATTGGATATTATGAGTTGTTCAAAATCCATAAAGGATGCCACACGATTGAGCCAGAGTCTGATCATTGAGCCGTTTACTCATATCAACCTGGCCTTTGTAAATTTGGGTGACGATTATAAGTTGGAAGACGAGTACGGCGACATTGTGGACCGGGTGTCGTTCTTGAAGTTTACACACCCAGAGCTGCGGGTAGACATCGCAGTTGGGGGGTGGACGTTTAGTGATGCTCCGACGCAGCACCTTTGGACTCAGAGTAAGTGAAGTGACTTAATTTGCAATATGAATCCACTCGATGCGCACACTAACGCTGGACGCAGTGGCACGCTCATATGAGAATCGTCAGACCTCCATCAACTCAGTGGTCAAATACCTGAAGGTTACCACCTTGACGTTATTGACATTGACTGGGAGTATCCGTCAGCATCGGATAGGGGCAGAGAACCTTAAGACGCGGCGAACTTTGTGACCCTTTTGGGTGAGCTGCGGGAGGCCTTCGATCGCGAGAATCCTGGCTGGGAAATCTCGGCGACACTCCCAACGAGCTACTGGTACTTATGCGGATTTGACCCTGCCGGGATGGCTAAATATGTCGACTACTTCAACCTCATTAGCTACGACCTGCACGGAATGTGGGACCAAGACATCACATGGATCGGTCCTTACTTCAAAGGCCACACAAACATCACTGAGACAGACCTCGGTCTTGATCTTCTTTGGCGCAGCGAATCCAAGGTTGTCTTCGGCTTCGCATTCTATGGTCGCTCCTTTACCATAGCACACCCCAATTGCTATCAGCCTAATGGCAAGTGCGAATTCTCGGACGGTGGAATACCCGGATCATGCTCTGACACCTCGGGCATCCTGACATACGCGGAAGTCGCGTCAAGGAATAATTCACTCGATGTCCATACGTTCTGATCCGGAGACAACGGTTAAATATAATGTTTACGAGGGGACCCAGTGAATCTCCTATGACGATGAGCAATCCTTGTTCGACAAAAAAAAGTTCACCTTCAGCCGATGCCTGAGCGGGTGGATGACCTGGGCAATCGACCAGGATGATGGCGATTTTGACGCGCTTGCCGGAGTTATCGGCGAGGACCTCTCAGTCATCCAGATGGAGGGTGGTGGCTTATCCGGGGATGCTGCTAACGCCCTGGCTGACGCCTTTGCCGCCTATACTGGCCAAAACGGCTTCGTCACACCGCGCTGCACTGACGGCTCAAGTGGGGAGAAGAACCCCGACCAGGTGTGCCCATCAGGATACATGTCGGTCAGCACTGCGCACAATCCCCTGCAGGCGGGCAATAAGGAGCTCCATGGCGACTGCTCTGAGGGGTGGTACCAGCACATCTGCTGTCCCAAGGATGCCATGCCCAGAACTGCGAATGGAACGGTGCGCCGGAGCGAAGCGAGTTCGGCTGCGACGGCAAATGCGGGAGGAACCAGTTCAAATAATGACATAAAGATTAAAGATATATAAGAATACTCTCTCATATATTTCACTAGTTCTGTTATTCGTGCTCATTACGACTATCTTTGAATGATTATATAGTTGGAAGCTTAGCTACAGAACGCTCATCCACATTTACTTATAAATAGCTTCGTGGCATTATTCGGCCCTAGTACATACTATATCTGTATACAAAGAGTACGCTGTATTAGCTGACAGTACTACTAGAATCACTGCACGCAAGCCCATGGTGATGCGTGAGGAGGCTACTATAATATAAGAGTAGTATGTGGTAGCTTAATCGACATACAACGGTGAATAGTAATGTGTTGAGTTCAGATGTCATTCCACTGAGGCTACTTAAAACGATGAGTCTTGATTCGACACTACATCAACCCGATGAATACCTATGCTTTTGGATCTCTAACCCCTTCCTTCACATACCATTCATGCACCACCTCGCCCAATTCTTTTCGCAGCACCTCTCTCTTCTCCGGGGGTGCAAATGACTCCACCAGCATTTCTACAACACTATCACCGTCCACTAGATCAATTCCCCGGCCATGAGAATATTGCAACAACTCTTCCGCAGTGAGGTAGCTGTGGCGGGAAGTATGACTAGTTCGATCCCAAGCAACATCGCGCAATGGTTTTCCTCGACTCACCAACTGAATCGCATCAAAAGTTATCTGCACTCCAAGCGCATACTCCTTGTTCACACCTGTCAGTATGGCAACAGAGTGCCCGAGTGGAAAGGTCCTTCTGTCAATTATATCACCCAATTCACCGTCCCCACGGAAGACTCGGAGGGTATACCCGAACTGGGCTCCAACTTTCTTGCTGCCCCAGGGTGCCGAAAGGAAACCGCCATCCAAAGATAAAAGAGGATGCGACGAGGAGGAAAAGTAATCAATGACACTCTGGTTAAGCACATCGCCGCATGAAAGCGATATGCCCACGTCGATGAAGTGCTTTTGCAACATTTTGACAACCGAGGTACCCTTTGAGTCTGGTATTTCTTGCACAAAAACCCCGTATGTCGACTGCATCTGCTCAGGAGTCATGTGCCGGGTGCCCTTGAAACCGTATTCCTTGAGCCTGGGACTGAGATGCTTGCGTAAAAGCTCGCGTTCGAAGAATGCTAGCTTGCGCAAATCGAAAGGCCAACTACCAGGCGCCTCGATGGGAGGTGTCTCCGTGCTGGGTGTCAGAAAGAGGAAAGGCATATGGCCCTCGGCTAGAAGCCGTGGAACCAGGTCACTGGCCATCAGGTGCGAGGCCACGTCTAAGCCGAGAAAGATAGCAATGTGTAAAGGTCTGGCAGGGGGCTCCCCAACCAGTGCGTCGGCAATGCGAGCCGCGTGGGCTGCCGTTCGATCGATGGCGCTGACGTAGAAATGCGTGCCGCGTGTCAGCGAGCCCATCGTGTATAGGCCAGGGGTTGATGCACAGAGGGTGTCGAAGTCGACGTCAACCCCACCCATCGGGTGCGGCGTGAATAATCCCTTTCGGACAGCGGACTGGACAAGCGGCGATGGAATCCGATCAAGATGGCATTCTTGCCCAGTCGCTTCGATCACGTATGCTGCTTCTATGGGTCCAGCAGTCGTCTGAGCAATGAAGATGCCTCCATTGTCATCCCAGTGGACGGCCTCTCCTGCAACCACACTTAGTTGGGAGCTTTCCATCAGCCTGAGGATTTTCTGGGCGTTCTGCACGGGCATCCCGTGGCGGTATCGCATCCAGGGAGTGAAAAATTTGGCCATGAAGAGTTGTTGGCTTTCCAGAGGTAAACAGTGCCAGTAGCGCTCGATAACTGGGGCAGTGTGGCGAAGGACGGTTTGCCAATGGACATTCCCTTCCTGTGCCGCGCACAGGTCTGCCCGTAGTTCGGCCTTTGGTGATACATGCTTCTGTATCCAGGTCCAATCACCGTTGTTCACACCGTCAATCTCATCCATAAGGGTAGTTGTGAGTTTGACAAGACCTTCCGCTGGGTTCGATTCAAGCTCTCGGGCCAAGGTATGAAGGGTGTAACGGCGCGGGAAAGGTTCAGGCTCGCCTTGGACTTTGGCAAGGCGGCCACTGCGCGACATAAAGGTCATCGGGCCCGTATGGCCGTTCTTAGAGAGATACAGCGCAGCGTCAACAGCGGAGAGCCTTGATCCGATGATGAGGACAGGGGCATCGGCAGGGATGGACTGTAGTTGAGAAGTCGGCCACGGGCTGGGAAAGAAGCCCGGTTGATCAAGTAGGTGCGTGTTGAGGGTAGAGGTGAAATTTCCCAGCGCCAATACAACAGAATGGGCAGAAAGATGGCTCCCACCTGCCAGTGTCAAAGCAAAGCTGCCATCATCATGACGGTCAATGTCCAATACATCGTCTTGGATGAGTGAGATCTCCAAGCCCATCTGTTGGGCTTGCGAGAGTATCCCAGACCACATCGCCTCCAGGTACTCCCCATATTGACTTCGGGAGGGAAAGGGACCACTGGATAGCTCGCTTCTCCATCTGGTAAAATGCTTGGGGTCGTTATAATATAGACCCATTGTGTCCGTGTGCATATTCAAGATGGTGCCGGTACAAGCGGCAGAATATGCCAGTCCTGGGCCAGGAGGCGAGGCTTTCTCGACGACGGTGATGGGAGGAATTTTCTTGCCATTCTTAGCATGTTCAATCAACCGAAGAAGGACTGCTATGCCACTGGCGCCAGCGCCTACTATGACAATGTCTTCGGTAGAGGAAGTGGCAACCGAGGATAACGATGAGCCCATTGTGAAATGTCAGGCACGAGTGATTCTTCAATTACTGAGAAAGATGACTATACAAATCCCCTCGTGAAGAAAGTATTTATCCTTCCCAGGTCTGAGTACAGGATGGTGGATAGCCAATCAATCTACTAGAACGGGTTGTTCCCAAACAGGACAGACGATGAGGGCTATTCTTAGCTTAAGCTGCACGCCCATTCCACAATCACCTTCAAGCTTCCTCTAAAACTCCATCTCACGGTAGAATCACATTATACAGCTGACCACAATAGCCAAGATCCTTTCGTCCGAGCACAATGTGGCTGTCAACTCGTGGGCATCTGCAACATGCATGGAGCTCAAAGGCCACCCCCTCATCCTTGAGCTCCGCTGCCGGTCTATATTGCCAAGCGGTAAGCTGAGGAAGAATCGGAAAGGAATTTGCAATGAATGCGTCACCAGTGCATGCCGATCTTTCTCTTGTGATGAGAACATCGGATGGCGAGCACGAGTAACCCTTTCAAAAGAAGGAAACCCTGCCGAGAGGGATGATGCTGGCGGCAATAACAACTCGTATTACAAAATCGAATCCCATAATCACCATGACGCCAGACGCAATTCTGCTCAGCGACTGGTGGACTTTCCTACACGACACCCGGGTACGCCCTCTGCCGAATTACAATGTAACCCTCTATTGTTTGAACCAGGATGCGCGTCGGGCGGGATGCATGTGGTTGAATCCATCGTGTGTGAGCATACAGCACTTACTCGCAACAAAAATGGGCCTTACAGCGGTAACAAAGGAATGGTAATTCAGGGCGTTAGACAGGCTCACGTGGCTGGCCTCGGTACTACACATCGGCAAAGATAGAAGAGGCTAATCTAGGACCCTATATTGTGAAAGGAAGATGGCAAGGTGCTAAGCCAGGAACATGCTATGATGCAGTTGTCAGAAGATGCATTCGAATCACTTATACGCCCAAGCGGCCAGAGCAAAATTATTGCGGGTGGTCGCTATACGGCAGAACTGGTCCTGTCCCATGCTTGCACAGCGTATAGTCATACTTTCATTCGGCAACCTAATGTCGGTTCCAAAATCAATACATCAAATTGAGTTGAATTCATCAACTGCGTTCCGACATCAATATGAGGCCCCGCATAATCATGACTGAGGAGCAGTATTGGCACAGCCCTACCTGAGGGCCCAGTCTAGGCTTCTTCTATCCTGCAGAAGTGCTCTCTTGGCAGGCTGAGAAAACAGCATTGTTTATTAGCCTGAAGTTCGGGTCTAGAACAGGTGCAGATCGTCGGTCCTCCTCAAACTCCGAACCAACAAGATCGGCTCCGTGAGACACACCACCAAGGTCGGTCGGGCCCGTAAGTGCTGCACAGAGCTGGTCAGTTTCCACCCTAGTGCTTGGCCAGCCTGCCTTGCATAAAATACAGCTTTTCTCGGATTGGACCTTCACATCCGGATGTAGCCGCGGTCGGGGTGAGCGAGAGGGCGGGCTAAGCCGATACAAGAAGCACGGAGAAGAGACCTAGTGCAGTGGGCGTTGACAAAAATAGAAAGACTGTAGCGTAACTAAACATGAACGGACAATTGCGGGGATATTGCCCTTCTGCCCCATTAGTGGTTTCCCATCTTCAATTCATCCGCGCCAAGAGAAGCACAGTCGTTAAAATCAGATTTTCGTGGACACAAAAAAATATCCCTGTGTATACGTCGTGCCAATCTTCAGTGCTTTGGAGACAGCAACAAACGGAGGTGCACTTTCCATAGCCAGTTAATAGCAGATTTTTTACGGTTTGACACATCACTCGTTAGGTATATGAGCAACATCCCTACATCCCTTCGCCCGTTACTGGCTGCTTACGCGAATTCCCAATGAGACCTATGTCAGCGGAGGGCTTTCTTTCCGTTGAGGCATTAGCAATATCCGGTTAGTTATGTGCTAGCATCTATGGATTGTTGCCTAGTCAGGCACGCCATCAACTCCCGTGAATGCGAGTCGCCGCAAATTGATTCGTGTAGCAAAGGCCACGGATGATTGGCCTTTCTTCTCTTCACCTGGCCTTCCCCTCATGCACGGGAGAGGATGCAGCTACACAGATGAGGGGAAAAGATCGGGGAGATGCAGTCGGGGTGCAGATCTCACAGGGCAACAACGTCCTCCGCATCGGTCGGTCACGCATCTCATTTAAAGCCCGGGATGACCGTGATGCCAAGGAGAAGTCGCGACTTGGCGGCCGGGGTGAAATCCTTTGGGGAATCCTTCAGGA